CTTCTACAGCTGCCTGGATGACAGGAGTGACCCTGACTTCACAGAGCTGATGGAGGGAGGATTTTGCTCTCTCCTCCCTCCAATAGCAGCCTACTGTGTGCGGGAAAGAGCAGGCAGGGCGCCTGCTGAGAAAATACCTCCTTCTCAGTACAGGCACTTGCCAGAGAGGGAGGGTAGACTGCCCTTGACTCTGGTAACCCTTGTCATGTGACATCTCATGACCAGAGAGGGGAAGAAGGAAAAGCTGCCTTCTTTCCCGGGAGACATCCTGCTATGAAGGAGGTCTGAACTGTAAAGTACACAGAGGGTGGGTGGGAGCAACCACTGAGTTTCCCCTAAGCTCCCCTTCCTTCTTTAGAGCCACACAGGGCCCCTTCAGTTAAAATGTACCCCCAAGAGGCCCCCCTCCTTCATCCCACTGACACAGTGAGATTCACCCTCTCCATTTGTCCTGGTCACCATTATCACTAAGACTTAAAGAAAATCCCAAATTTTAGGTTGTCATCAGAACAGGAATATATGGGAAATCTTCCTGTGGGGGAACTAGTTCGGGTGACCCTGCTGACCTCAGGGATTTCCTTCACTTACTTCAGAGGGATTTCCTTTCACTCCCTCTGATGAGACACATGGCCAAAAAAAAAAGCTGACAGGTTATAACCCTCCCTTACATTTTTTATCCAAAAATAAAAAAAAAAAGTTTTGGCTTAACTTCTGTTTTCAGGAATGCATTCATGCTATATCAATTTTAAGGTTTACATATACTTTAATGTCATTTCAAAAGCTCACAATCTTTTTTAATCTGCAGCTTGACCTGACAAAGATTGATAGTCTTGTCATAAAAGTCCTTGTCTATTATAGTTACATTCATGCAGTGACATATTACCACTTATTCATTCACTCCCAACTCGGGTAGCAAAAAGGTTTGTGCGCATGCTATAAGTCTCAAGGCATGCACACAAAAAAGGCAGATCACCCACATCACCATTTACAAAAATGCTTTGAAGCACACACATGAGTACAGTATAGCAAATGGGAACCATAGCAACTAGAGGATACCCAGGCCACGTGTTGGGCACTACTGCTGTATACATTGAATATACTGAACATACTGAAAAATAGATTTTTGACTTGGATACACTTTAATTGATAAAGAATTAGGAGTTTTAATTTAACATTAAACACAGAGGTTACGTTTAAGAAGATAACGAGCCCCAAAGTTCTACATATTTCACAATATGTATTGAATATATGTTCTTTATCCTTTTGTAAGACAGTAATTTCTATAAGGGTAATTGCACACGTTTTTTAATCTGCCTGAGTGACATTACAGCTTTGTACTGATTGCATGCGAGAAAGGAGAGGAGAAAGATGGGAACTGAAGAGAAAAGAAGGGGTGATTGATGTGTAGGAAGAAACCGCCAAACCAAGCCCTGAAAGTCTGATGGAACCTAAACTCAAAGAGCATGATATGGATGACTGCTTTCTCCACAGAGAATAAACAATTCTTCTCTGTTCCTGAGGCTATGTGCCATCCATCTTCCATCGAGTGATGCACAGATTTGATTCAAGTCTCCATCTAGTTTGTTTATAAATTGGAAGTATACAGAAATGCAAGGCAATGTATCAAATGGTGAAGCACTGAATATGGATTCATTATGCGTTATAGCTGTGACAATGGTTATGAAGGAAATGGACATAGGGACAGCCTAAGGACTAAAAACTATAGAGTATAGGATAATGACATTAATTACAAATAGACAGTTTTTTGTTTTTTTTTTACAAGTGGTGCATAAGAAAAATCCGTTGGACACGTTCAAATGAAAAATCCCGATCAATAATACCATTAGAGGCTTGTCGATTGTTGTTCGAAATTTCATTAGATTTTTGTTTATATTTAACATTTGGGTTTGGAATGAATGGAGTTTTTCCAAACGAAAACCACATATAGAACTTCGTTCAATCGAGAAAAATGTTCCCAATGTGCTCCTTTGAATTTTTTTCAATACTGTGGGTGAAATCGATAATCGATTTCACCGCATCAACGATTAGAAAGTTGATAGAATGTTCCAAAATTGATTTAGTTCGTTTGAAATTCTAACGGCGTATACCCAGCACAAGGCTGGGAGGGGAATGGCATGGCAGCAGCAGTCTGATGGGAGTACAGGAATGCTCTGTAGGTTGCGGAGACAAGAGCACACTGGTCCCTGCTTGTGAGAACTTGAAGGGGGGGCTGCCATGGCCAGATTAAAACAGGAAATGCAGGGGGACTGGAAGAAATAACTTGGAATTTCACAGCATATGAAGCAATACAAGGAGAACAGGCAATATTTACACACAAGTACATGACAACACAGATGCATATATGAAATATATTGTGGGGTAACATATATTTTAATCTGTTATTGATTGAAAAAGTCAATTTTCTTACAAAAAGTATTTTGTAAATGTGGCTTCTGTTCTAGTTAGCAGTGAAATATGCAAAACAAATAATCAAAAAAGTTTAGCCAAATTTTGTTTCAGCCACATGTCTAGGGAGTTTCTGCTGATTTGATCAAAGGTTGGTTAAGCATAACAATTAGAGTAATTGGAGCTACAGCTAACGATTATTTTCAAAATCAATTAGTTAGCCGATTATTACGTTCGATTAATCGGTTAATCGGATAAAAAATAAAATACATTTTTAAAAATGGGTGCAGTGATGGGACTACTAGTTTGTATTGAGATTGCACTCCATCACAGGAGCAAGCTTGGAGCGGTGGAAGTAAAAAAGGAAAAAAAAAGAAGTGTGGTGTGCAATATAATGAAATGAAAAGTGTAAAATTATACAGCAATGATGAAGAATGGCATCGACTATAGAGGACTACAAAACCCAGAAATAGTACATTATACAGCACAATGCAGACCACCACCAGCTATAAAGGAATATAACAAATCCCAGCAATAGTACATTATAGCTGGCGGTATTCTGCATTGCACTGTATAATGTACTATTGCTGGGTTTTGTAGTCCTCTATAGCTGGTGGTATTCCGCATTGCACTGTATAATGTACTATTCCTTGATTTGTAGTCCGCTATACAGCGCAATGCAGAATACCACAAGCTATATAGGAATACAACAAACCCGAGCAATACATTATACATACAGTGTATAATGTATTGCTGGGATTTGTATTCCTCTATAGCTGATGGTACATTACTCGGTACATTCTGCTGTACTGTATATTATACAATCAGCTATAGAGGAATACAAAAATACTGAAGTCCTAAATTATAATTGCAACCCTGTAAAGCTCTGTAGCAACTAGTAGTAGAAATTGCCACTATTACTGCTTGCCCTGTATGAGGCCGTCACTGCGTCAATCATCTCTAAAGCTTCATAATTCTCCCTGGAGGGGGGGGCACCTGCACTGCGTGTCGGCTGGGTTTCTGTCCATCACAGGAGTGAGCTTGCTGTGGTGGCTGCTTTACAAACACACACAGGGACCATGGGAAACAAAAGTAGCCAACCTACAGGAAGGACAGGGTTGGCACAAATTCAGAGATGATTTAAAGGAGAACTATGAGGTGAGTGCTTTGCACTCAGCCTCATAGTTCTAGCCGACCCGTGACAA